AGAGGAGTCTGTGGTGGGCAGCACCTGCCCAGGACCCCAGCACCCAAACCCCCCTTCCTCCCCTGCCAGGCCTCCTTTCTGTCTTGTCTTCCATCTTCCCTTCTCCTGTCCCCATCCCCCCTCCCCTCCCCCAGCAGGGCCTCCTGGGCTGACGCAGACAACCCCAACAGCCTCACTTACTTTGGGGCCGTCCGTGCCAGGAGTGCCAGGGAGGCCGCGGGGACCCTGGAGGCCCTGGGCACCGGGAGAGCCACGTTCACCTGGGAAACCTCGTTCACCCTGTGACAGAGACACCATGGGGCAGTCAAGTGAGAGTGATGGGGCAGAGGCCCAGGGAAAGGCAGGGGGGCAGCAAGCAGAGTGGGGCCCCGGGACCCGGGCGCGGCTCTGCAGGGCCAGGCTGGCAGAAACGCACAGGGAAAGAGCAGGTCCGAGGGGACCACCAGAAACGGCCAATGCTTACCCTGGGACCCACGAGGCCGGGGGCTCCAGCTTCACCAGGAACACCCTGGAGAACAAACAAAGACGTGTGAGAGAGGGGGAGATTTGATGTCCTGCAGCCAGGGAGGAGCATCCCTCCCTCTGGAGGCTGAGCTGGGATGTGGCCGGACACTCCCGGCCTCGTGGGGCTCCTCGTGCCCTCCTGCAGAGCAGAAGAGACCTTCCCATCTAAATAGTTTGCAGGTTCAAAGAGCCCCACACTCACCTGGTCACCTGGCTTTCCACCTTCACCTGGGGGACCGGGAGGGCCAGGAAGTCCCTAGAAGGCAGTGACATGCATTAGCAAGAGAGTAAGTTTACTCCTCCCGCCCTCCAGGGAGGCCCAGCACAAGGCAAGAGCCAGGACTGCAGGGAAGCCTCACCCCCCTGGCCCCCATGAGAGGGGCGGGCCCTCCACCCGCAGTGCCTACTACCGCCCGCAGAACCCCGGGCTTGGAAAGGACTGAAGAGGGGGCCCAGTCCGGCCACCTACCTGGAACCCAGATGGCCCAGGGGCACCCTGCTCGCCTCGTTCACCAGCAGGTCCCTGCAGAAGGAAACAAACGTGACCCGAGTGCTCTGGAGAATCTAAGAGCCTCGGACACAGGGCACCGGGGTGGCCAGCAGGAGGACAGGCCAGACACCCCCCCCGCACCGCCCAACAGGGTTGCAGGAGTGTGTGCCTCGCTATTCTCCCACCAATGACCTGCACTCCTGAAACGGGTGCGGTCCACACTGCCTTGGCTGAGTGGGTCTGGTGTCCCGCATGAGCCCACACCCAAACTGTTAGTTTCAACGCTGAGCGGGCCTGAGGTGCCTTGGCCTCCACGCCACCGCCCCCATGCCCACAGGGCCACCTAGAGAGGCCAGGCAGGTACTTACAGCGGGTCCGGGGGGCCCCGCAGCACCGGTCTCACCATCTTTGCCGGGAAGACCCTAGAAGGAAGGGAAAAGGGTGAGGTCCTGACACACGCTCTTCAGTTCTGTGGACCCCAGTACTGGGCAGGCACAGTCGGTGGCCCTGAGTTTCCATGATCCCCCAACCTGAACTCCATTTCTCCCCACTTCCTTTCCTGAGCCCCTCCTTTTCCCAGTCTTTCTCAGCATGGGAGCCTTCCCCATCTCCCGGCTACTGACCAATAGCAACTAGAAGTCATCCTGTGTGGACTCCCAAAGGCCCTAGAGAAGCATGGGCTCAGCCACAGGACTCCACGCTGCTAACTAGGGACCCCAGGAGCATGCCACGGGATTTCTCTCCCCTTGAGGGTGTCCAGCCAGCACCAATGCGTGGGTAGTGAGACGGAGTACTTACTCTCAGTCCAGGGGCACCGGGAAGTCCCTTCTCACCAGCCTTGCCAGGTTCGCCCTGGAGGAAAGAGTGCAGGACCATGAAGGGAGGGTTTTGGGGGGGTGGGTAGAGCAGGTGGGGGAGCCTGGGACTTGGGGCCACAGCCTGATGGACAGGAAAAGCTCAAGCTGAGTATTAGCACCTTCTCTTACGCTCAGAGGGTGTGGCAGCACTGCCCCATGGAACAATGTCACGGCTGAGATGTCCCGAAGCTCTAAGGAGCCCCGGGTTTCCCCAGATCACATGCACTCCTGTGGGACATGGAGGCCCCAGCTGCCCATGGCACCCAGGATCCCACTCAGACCTGCCCTTGGTTAACTCTCTTTAGGAGCCAGTCCTTTCCACAGGGGGCAAGGAGGTAGGTGGCACCATGTGGAAGGAAATGGAAGGGCGGGTTATTACTTACATTGGCACCTTTGGGGCCAGGGAAACCCATGACGCCAGGCTGCCCACGAGCACCCTGAGGACCTGGAGGTCCAGGACGACCATCTTCACCAGGGGCTCCCTGAAAGAGAGGACACCGTTCTCAGAATGTAGACGCTCTTCCCACATCCATCCATCCACCTACTAAGTGCCTACTATGTGGCAGGCACAGGGCAAGGCAACGACCAGACGCACAGCACAGGGATTGAGCAAGGTTTCGACCAGCAGCCCTCACCGCACATGTGGACCCCCATCAGCAACAAGGTGCTGCTTAAATTAGAAGTTTTGCCTCTCACGGTGCACACCAGGCTTCGTCTTTCCCCGAGGGAAGGCCCGAATGCACAACGGGGTGGCACTTTCAGAGCTCCACACCCGGCCCTGGTACCTATCATCTGCACCCCTCCCCTGTTCTCAATATTCACGGGCTGCCCCCCACCCAGACTCCTGTCTGTCTTCCTACCTGCCTCCTCAAGGATATCCCCTCAACCTCTCCCAACAACTCCAAATGGTAGACTTACAGAAGGACCAACTTTGCCTTGAGGACCGGCATCACCGGGGCGTCCAGTGAGACCCTTTGTTGAGGAGAGAGACAGAGGGTGGGCGGGCGTCGGGGCAGGCCCCAGGTCCTCCCGATCCTCAGCACAGGGCTGGAGGGAGCAGGTGGGGAAGGGCACGAGGACTCCCGATCACAGTCAGAAGTCAAGGACAAAGGCGGCTGGGCTACTTACCCGGGCTCCAGGAAGGCCAGGCTCTCCGGGACGGCCAGGATCGCCGTTGGCACCCTTGGGGCCAGCAAGGCCGCTGGGCCCTCGCTCTCCAGGGGCTCCCTACACAAGGGGAGGCAGCAGTCATCAGCAGGCCATTTGACCAGCCATGCAGGGACCCCAAGCCCTTCTTCCCCCACTCACCTTTGGACCTGCCAGACCATCTTGACCTGGGAAGCCACGGTTGCCAGGAGCACCCTAGGAAGAAGTGGGAGGGCAGGTGGTGAGTGACAATGGCCCCTGACCCAACGGTAACTCCAGGGAGCCCAGCCAGGCTTCGGGGGATCAGTCCCACCAACCCACAGTTTCTGTGGGGCTGTAGCTATGGCCGGCAAGATTCCGAGAGAGTAACTTCTTGGGCCTGACCTGGGGAGTAGCTCAAACCATTTCATGCCCTCCTGGGGGCATGGGGTACAAATAAGAAGGGCTCCCTGTCCCCGTGGCATTGAGTGGAGAAGAGAGGAATCTGATACTCAGGCCACAGGACTGGACAAGAACACAGAACCACCAAGACTCCACTTCCACGTTCAGGTCACACCCACAGAAAGTGGGGACTAGGAGTCCCCTTACCTCTAGAGTAAGAGCCCACTTACTCTTTCTCCAGGGGGACCAACAGGCCCAGCACCACCAGGCTCTCCACGGGCACCTCTCTTGCCTTCCTCACCAGCAGGACCAGGGGCTCCTTGGGGGCCAGCAGGGCCCTGAGAACCAGCACAAAAGAGAAACAGGGTGAGTCTTCACCTGGCCCCGGGTCAATCACTGACTTGGCATGTGGTGGAAGTGACCTTGGCCATTATTTCAGGGCTAGGGGATTTGGGGAAGAGGGGCCATAGAGGGTCAGCCCAGGAAGAGCAGAAGTGGCCCAGTGGGAAGAGAGAGGGTGTAAGGGTCAAAGATGGGAGCTGAAGCTGTATCAGCTTCTCAACCCCGATATGTCCCCCTCTCCAGACACAGCCTGAGGGGTCCCAGATTAGGGGACAGGGCTATGGAGGAGGAGGGCAGTGGGCGGGGCGATGGCCTTGGGCCCAAGAGCTGGTGGGCAGATACTCACAGGCTCTCCCTTGGGGCCTTGTTCGCCTTTGAAGCCAGCAATACCAGGCTCACCCTTGAGAAAAGACAGAGGCAGGTTGTCACGCTGGGTTCTCTCCATGGACCCTGCCCCCATCTCCAGAAACCCTTAAAGGCGTGCCCCCCCCCCAGCCCCCAACAAAGGACACTGGTGTGAGTGCAGGAAGGAGGGATGGCGGGGTTTGACCCCGATGGTATCGATGGGACTTGGGGTTCACTCTGGGTCTTACCGTCTGACCTTTCGGGCCCAGCGGACCAGTTGCACCTTGAGGGCCAGGTGGACCACGGGGCCCAGGGAAGCCGGGAGCACCAGCGATGCCCGGAGCACCCTGTCAGCATGAGTAGAAGAGAGGGGCATCAGGAGAGGGGGCAAGGAGGGACTGACCCCACCTGGAGGAGCCAAATCCAAGGGCAACACTCACAGCAGATCCTTTGGCTCCAGGAATTCCATCAGTTCCAGGGTTACCCTGAGGAAAGAGATGGGGTCATTATGAAATAAGTAGCAAAGAATAAACCCCAGCTACCTCCCTGCCCTCCCAGACCACAGGCCCAGGGGCTGGGCCAGCAGCTGGCCGTCCCAGACATGGTCCTGCTGGGGGTTTCTGGGACAGGATGGGGTTGGAAGGAGACCTGCCCCTAGAGATCAGGGAGCAGGTGCTGGGCCTAGATGAAGGTTTGGTTGGTGGGGCTCCAAATGGGCTCCACTTCTCTCAGAGGTAAACAGAGTCAAGAGCACCCAGGCCACAGACTTCAGGCCAAAGGGAAGCTGTACTTACAGAGGCACCGGCCGGTCCAGGGGACCCAGGAGTACCAGGTTCACCGCGAGGACCTTGAGCGCCTTCGGGGCCTCGAGCACCAGTGGGGCCAGCTTCACCCTGGATAGAGACGGAGAGGGGTGGAGTGAGGAGACGCCGGGGGGCGGGTGGGGGGCAAAGACCTCTCCCCGGCCAGCAACAGCTCAGGGACAGAAAGCGGAGTTGCACACACCGCACCCACTGTGCGCGTGCGCGAGCGTGTTCCCCACGTGGTCCCACACGCCCCCCGCGCCGAGTGAGCTCGCCAACCTGATGCCTTCCCCCCACACCTCCTCCGCTCTCCGTCTCCCCTCCACACCTTAACCCCCCACAGCAAATGCACACCTCCGTGCTACGGCATTGGGCCTCAGGAAGGCCAGTGCTGGGGGGTCCCGCCCACGCTGAGGGGTGTGAGCTGGTAGACAGGCCACTGAGGTGGGCAGCCTTTACCTCCCACTCTCCACCTATTCCTTCACTGGGGAAAGGGAGGCCCTCGGACATCTGAGCTCAGGGCACCACTCCACTTGCGTCTGGCCAATGTGCGAACACCGCCACCCCCAGGCTCCGGCCCAGGCCTGTCTGAAGCCAGCCAGGAAGCCAGGACGCAAGCAAGCCGGGACCAGTGCCCCACTCCACTTGCCCCTGCTCTGACCACAGTCCAGTCCTCCTCGGCCTCTGGCAGGTCCCGCAACCCCCCAAAATGGCCTCTGCTTTTACTTTCATTTTTTTCCTGAAAGTTACAACTGGCTGCGATCCGGACTCTCTGGCCGGCCGAGTCCTCTGGGGAGGACTGCTGACCTGGAGGCGGGGCAGAGCCTCCTCAGGTTTCTTCTCAGAACATTCTTGCTCCACTCTTGTAATTATTATTTTCTAAAGGTCAGGCCCCCTCACCTTCCGCCGTCCCTCTTCACAATGGGTCTCCTTCACCCAGCTCCCAGGGCCTCAGACACTGTCTGGTTGCCATGGAAACCCCCAGGAGGGGAAAGGCAACCTGATGCCAGTGACCACATGGAGGCTCCTTATTCATCTCCCGGCTGCCCCGGGAGAGAATTCCCAGGGAACGTGCGCACTGGAATCCTTCTTGGGCCACAGGGGCCTTTCCCTGAACTGGCTGGCCTCCCACTGGCCCCTATTAATCCTTGGAAGAACTCTGTTCACACTGCCTGGAAGAGCCAGGCCCTCGATGGGGTGGGGGCGAGAGGGAAGCTTGGAGCTATCTCCTTGCCCACTTCCTCCAGCTCTCTTCCGGGTCTAGAGTTTGCCGTCCTCCAGTTCCTGGTCTTCTGCTCCCTCCCAGATCTCCGGTGTCTCCCCTTCTTTTCCTCCCTTCCCCGGTCTGACGCTGTAACTGCACCTCCAGCTTCTTATCGTTACATCTTACTTTCCCTTCCATCTGGTGACTGAACCGCCTGGCTCATCCGTGGGACACACTCCTCAGAAGGGAAGTGGGGACTGTCCAGGGGGCAGTCGGTGAGGGTGATGGGGTGGGGAGGGGGCGGCTCCCGACTCCACCTGCAGGGCACGTACCTTGGCACCGGGAGCACCAGGGAAGCCAGGACCACCAGCAGGACCCACGGGACCCTGGAGGAAGGAAGGAGGGGGAGAGGGGAATGCTGTTTCCAGGCAGTGTTTCTGCAACCCCCAAAGCGAGCCACCCCCACACCTCACACTCCCCACCTTTGTACTGATTTTGCACTACATCCATCGTGGCTCAAAGTCCCTGGGCGAAAACCGCCCCCTCTGCCTGAGCCTGGCTTCACGAGGCAAAGCCGGTTTCTAACTATAGACATGGTGAGAAGCAGATGATTCTTTTACCTCCCTATCTAGCCCTCCTCAAAAAAAATGCCAAGAGGATGGCTGAGAAAAATGAACCGTTGCTTCAAAGCTTGTTATCGACAGGCTATAGGGTGATACGGATTCCTCTCCCTTTGCCCAAGAAGCGCCAGCACTGCCAACCCCACTGGGCTGCTGAAAGGGACTCGGGTAAACCTACCACAGATGACAGGCACTTACCGGAGGCCCAGCAGGGCCTGGTTGACCGTCGTTGCCCCGGGCACCCTATAAGCAGGGGGGGAAGAAGCGGCCGTGGTGAGAGGTGCCTGACCAAGAGACCAGGCCCTCCCCGCCCACAGTGCCCGCCCCCCCACAGAAAATGTGGGCGGCGCTGGGCCCCAGGGGCCTCAGGGCTGAGTGGGGGGCTGGCCAGGGATGGGTGCAGGGCAGCCCCCCAGGGAGGAGCAGCCCCAGAACCCCTCCGTGTTGGGGGCAGCAGCGGGCAAATTCTGAGCTTAAACACAGCTTGGGTGCTCTCCTAGCTATTCCATCATTTCTTAAACTTCCATTTAGACCCCAAATATCCCCAACATCAAGGCCAAGTTATCATTTAAAGACTCAGTGAATCAGGCCAAAGGACAATGAAACAGCCAAGCAGCAAACCTCACACAATTCCTCCCACCTGCTCGCAGGGGGAAACACTTCCAGGGGCTTGGTTATCCTCCTTGGTTGAGGCTTGGTTAAGGCCTCCCCTTGGTTAGGTCCAGGATGCCTCTGGGCTCCGCCCTCTCCCCACCCACTGTAGACAACCTATTTCTAAGGAAACACAGATGCTGCCGCTGGCCCAGGAAGAAGCCGTGTTCTGCGACAGGGACAGAGCCCTGGGCACAGCCTGAGGAACACATCTGAGCTCTTGCCCCTGAGAGTCCTTTACACAGAAAGACAGGGCCGCCAGGTCGCTCTCTAGGACTAATTTTGAGGGTTTCCCCCCAGGTTTGTGGTGAGCACATTCTACCCACCAGCCCCCCCCCCCCCCCCGGCCTTTCTCTCTCAAGGCCCCTCAGGGCCCAGGGAACTTTTACCCAAACTCTAGGAACCATTAGGCTAGGCCCGGCACCTTGTCCTTGGCAGGGGACTGGAGCAGGCCAGAAGGCGACCTTTCCCAAGCTGGGCCCTGCCTGCCTGCCTCTGCCTCTTCTAGGGTGCTGAAGAAGGATGCTTTGGGGGGAGCTCATATTTTAAATAAGACTCAAATCTTCTTCCTGGCTATGATCCATTTCTCCTGACTGAGATGCTCCAGACTGGCATTAAACAGGAACGCAAGAGGAGACTTGACAAAAAAAATGTCAGAGGGAACATAAAGCCTCAGCGTTGGCCACGGCCCATTCTGGGCCAGGCCGGCTGCTTCGGGAAGCTATGGAGCACCCTCCCTCCGGGGGTTGGCCAGAGGAGAGGCCTGGGGCCCAGCATGACCCGCGAGGCCTGAGCTGGCGTCGGTGGCTATCCCTGCAGCAGAGCTGGGAGAGGGCACAGTCTGGCCCAAGGGGGCACGTGACCACAGCAGGCAGAGGCCAGCCCAGCCCCGTCCCGGGCCCAGCCTTGACACCAGGCCTGCACTTGGAACTGCGTGACGTTGTCAACTTTCTATGCCAAAGCCTATACACAGCCTGCCAGCCTGACTACTGCGGGGACAGGAACCAGCGGGGAGGAGCGAGGAGCAAGGCCTGCTGTGCTCGGGAAGGAGGAAGAACAGGGACGCGGCTCGTCTCTGCCCCTGACAGGGTGCGGCCACCACAGCTCCGGGCCCGGCCAAAGAGCCACAGGCCAGGTCCTAATAATCTGCAAAAATAGCAGTGTTTCTTGGCAGCCCCAGCACTCTCTAATCCCCTCACACAAAGTGACCCTGGGACAAGGCACCTCAGCAGCTCTGGGGGACAAACGGGGGTCGGGGCTGCCTGTATCTCACTGATCTGCTCTGGAGGGAAATTTCTGCCAAACCGACACATTATGCAGGAGGCAGCAGAGTGAGTGAAGCTGATTTACTTTGGCCAGCCCTGCAACGGCCTATGAGGAGGGGCCTCGGAGCCTGGGCGGCTGGGGTATGAGCTCAACTGAAAGCATAATCTTTCTTAAACACGGCTTTCATCACATCACTCGCCTGACCAAGCGCCTACAAGGGCTCTCCATTGCTGAGGGATCAGAAATAAACACCTGCGCCCTCCGCCGCCCGCCGCAAATCCCCTGCAAATCCCCGTGCCCTTCACTTCCCACGTCAACAAGAGGCCACCAGAGGCGGAGGCTGCCGGGCAGGGTCTTAAGCTATGCAAGCTTTCTGTGCCTCGGTTTCTCCTTCCCTAAAATGGGGAGAAGAACAGAATCTACTTCACAGGATATGAGGGAAGATTCGGTGAGACAAAGCATGTAAGGTATTAACCCAAGGAAGTGCCTGTGGCAGGGTGGCCACTGGGATTATCTATCACAGTATCACCAGCGGCAGCAGCAATGTCAAGTATGAGGACCCCATGTGCCTAGTTGATGCTAGACTGTTATGCTTTAATAGGGCATCATCTCAAAAGCCAGAAAGAACAGAGAATAGCACAGCACCGTAAGTCTGTCCATAAGTTCAAACTGGATTGACCGGGGGCGTGGGGGTTGGGGGGGCCCTGTGAAAGGGATTACCTGCACCATCCAGCCTGGTTAAGAGAGAATCCTGCCCTCACCAACCAACCCTCCCATCGCTGTCCTTCAACGGTGCAGACTCGGCCTGGGGATTTGCAGCAGGGTCACTCAGAGATAATCCTCACGGGGTGACAATGCTCTCTGCGCCTCACGGGGTCATTTTGAGGGTCAAGCAAAACAGCCACCCACGAAAGTGCCTTGTAATCTCTAAAGGGCCGGCCAAAAGGTGGCCTTTGGCCTTGTCATTACTCACCGCAGCCCCAGCAGGGCCAGTCCGTCCTCTCTCACCAGGCAGGCCGCGGGGACCCTAGAACACACACAGCAGGACAACACACGCATGAGTCGGCTTAACGACGCTCCGCAAGTCCTTCCCAGACACCGGAGTGGGGAGCGTGTGTGTGCCCGGGAGGCAAAGGTGTGGATGCCCCTGATCCTGCCTTCCCGACCCATCTAGAACTTCTCATATCACATCAAAGTGCTTCTGCCCAGATCACACACACGCTCCTGTCATTACTGTCAGGAGTCTGGTCACAGGCGTGCCTTGCTTTGTGCAATAGACGAACACCCCCCTCAAAACGTGGAGAATAAACAGAATTTTAAAAAACTGAAGCACATCCTAAGTGTGTTCACGGGCTATTTTAAGGAAACATTGGTGACACCTTGAACAAATCATCTAGCTGATAAATTTAGCTTTTGGATCTGATCATAACCAGATCAAATCTACAAAACCAAGTATCTCCTCTGCCCAAAGGGAGCAGTGGTGTCCATAGCAGAGTCATCTACTAGGCTTTAGAAGATGTCTGAACAGCATCCCGAGGGCCTCCCCCGGGGGTGATATTCACACTCACCATTGGGCCCGGAGAACCATTCTCACCCGGTGAACCACTCTCACCCTGGAAAAAAGATGCACAGTGTCAGTGAGCGGGACCCCACTGCCCCCAGAAAACTCCCAAGGAGGAAGCTGAAATCTCTGGTCAACTCAGCTACCACCAAGACCCCCCCAAAGTTCAGTTCTGTGAGGGACAATTCCCCGAGCTCTCCAGGCCTCCTGCTCATCCATCAGGATGCAGGACTGGGTGTTCCCAACCAAAGCCGTTCTGACATCCTAACTCCACGGACTCAATAGCATCTCCTTGACCGGAAAGAAAGGCTCCTCCATTGTCCCCATGTGCTTCTTGGTCCTTACCTTCACACCTGGAGCACCAGCTTCTCCCTTAGCACCATCTAGACCTGGGTAGCCCTAGGGGACAGGAGAAAACATTCGATCACACTTCTGGAAGAAGATTCATGCCCCCCAAATGATTTTTCTCTCCCCAGGGCAATTCCTTCCTCCCAACACCCGCGTCCGTGATACTTACTCTGTGACCCTTGACACCAGGAAGGCCTGGGGTTCCCGGGAAGCCGCGAGCACCCTGCAGTCCAAAGAGGAGACGTTGAAGGCACAGTGCGGAAGGGCCCAGGAGAGGCAGACCTGCACTGCAGAGAGTCTCCAAAGCCAGCTCCCTCAGGCCGGGGCGGGAGGGGGGGCG